ACTTGGTTAAGGTGATGAATTCTGAGTTTTTCCACAGCAAAGTTACTGTTTTTTATTTTGTAATTAATAAATGTCTCACTGGTGAGACTTTGAGACTATCTAATTGTCCCGTTTGTCCTCAGACTTTTGCCCCATAATTTTAATGTCCATCAGCACATCTTGCCTACAACTTATTCCCATGGTATCTAATGATGATCTTTTTTTCTTTCCTGCATTGATTCTACATTTAGTAGTTAGAATTCTTCTGTAAGGAAGAGCCGTTCCTTCTCTTTCATTCATTCATTAACTCATTTACTTATTTATACTAGTGTATACTCATGGATATGTATTTGGCCATTAGGAACTCTTTCAGATTGGCTCCTATGCCCTTTCAACAAAACCTTTTATGGACACTTCCTTACTCTCTGGCACCAGAAGGTGCTCCAGAATTAAGTTATAGTTTCCCCACCCCAGCCCTGGAATGAACCACTTCTCCATGGGCCATTCTAACATTAAGCTTTGCTAGGGACTCTTGGTAAATGTAAGAAAGTCACCTCAGTCAATGTTACCTGACTTTGAACTTTTAAAAAATGTTTTATAATTCTAATTTCTGGTCTATATGTAGGGTACTTCCTATTATTGGATGAATGTATTTTTCACTTGTAGAGATTCTGTTTAGTTCTTTTCCAGGTTTCTCTCTTTTTCCATCATGCCCTATTCTTTTACTTGGAATTTAATGTGTTGTCTTTCACTTTTTATTCTTTTAGGTGCTTTTGTATTATTTTCTGCTTGCTCTGTTATTTGAAGGTAGTGGATGTTTAATCCTGTTGATTATTTTTGCTGATGCTCACTCATGTTGGACTCATGCATCATTACATGTTTTGAAATTTTTCTTTTGTTGTGGCTTCATATTTAGAGGGGCTGATTTTATTTTTCCGTGTGAATCATTTGGGCTATGTGTTTTGGGAGTACCCTTTAATAGTGGTCCAGGTGACTCTATCCCATAACATTTTTTATATTAATTTTGCAACTCATTGGTTTCTAGTTCAACCATTACACTGAACGTAATCCCTACAAGGGTGCTGGTTTTATGTGGGAGTCTCAGTTCCAGCTCCCGCCTTAGTAGGCTAAAGGCTCTATCTCTTCTTCCCATGTGGACATTTAAACTCAAGCTACTAGGTTATGGAAACTGATACATTCCTTACAACACCTCAATTCAGGTATTTCCCTCTTTGTTTCTAACTCTGTGTGATATCTCCCCATTTTCCTTTATTTCCTTTTCAGCTCAGCTATGTATATATAGAATTTTATTCTTTATTAATCATTTCAGGTGTGGCCCATCGCATTGTTGGAACCAGCAGTCAATCTGTATTTTTGAAAACAAACAAGTTATTGGGTAATGTGCAGAAGAAAGCTGAACAAGCCACTAAAGGACAGGATCATGAGCCTGACTAATCTGATATAATTTGACAGATCTCACAGTTCTAAACACTGGTAGATCAAGGAGATGGACATAGCAAGAGGGTACCAAGTTCAATCCAAGGAGCTCTCAGGGTCAGAAGATCTAGTGAAGAATAGCTCAGGTTGGGGAAAGTCAGAGAAAGCAGCCTTCTTTACTGGAGGCCTCTCTGTTCCTGCTTATGTATGGACAAGCCTGGATTTGCAAATATTCTCTATAGGCATACCTTGTTTATGCATAAGGCCACCATTTGTGCCTGGATTCTAGAATATTTTCTCACAGTCTGTATGTAGAGTACTATTTCAGGCATTAGACTGTGAATGTTCTAGGAAGAAGACTTTCAAAAATAAAATTGTAAACTCTTGAAAATAGTTGCAGTATGTAGCTTAGTCCCCATCCACACACCACCCATGGAAAGGGCAGGACCTGTTTCGTACTTCTGTAACTGGTGGCCAGAGATCTTTTTTTGTTGATCTGCAAAGTGCATCAGGATGTCTCTGAGGCCATACTTCCTTGTATTTTGATTTATAGAAACACTCATATGACAGAGCTGTTGATCAACCTCACATCTGAGTTACAGTCATTTTTCCTCTTGCCTGCAGGATATTTCTACCTGGGTGTCTTTTTATCAACTCAAATTAAACATATCTCAAGTGGAACTTTTTGATCCCTATCTTCTGCAAATATGCTCCTTTTTCCAGTTTCCACTACTTTTTAAATATTACATTTTATTCACCCAGGTCTCTAGGCTCATAATATCCAACTTTCCAATTCGTTCTCTAAGTTCTTTTCATTCTTTTCATCTCTGCTTCAGATTTACCATTCCTCCAGTTTCAGTATCATCAGTAGTTAAGAACCAATAATCTCTCATATACTTTAGTACTGTGCTAGGTAGTGGGGAGTAAGAACTGTAAGATATTATCTTTTAAGAATTTAATATTTAATTGAGGAGACAATTTACATTCACAAAAAGAATGAGCAATACTAGACAGTGTATAATTAAATACTAAATTGGGTGACACAGAATTTTAAGAATTAGAAATTGGAGGAAAGAAAGCGATAAAATGAGAGCTTAAATTGTAAGAAAAAACTTAATTGTGGAAATGGGATTTGAACTGGGTCTCGAAACAACATAGATTGGAATTGGATAGGCATTTAAAGTGAGGAAAAGGCATGCACAATTACTACATTGAGCATACAATTTTTAGAAAAGTTTGAGGCTGTATTATGTGCTAGGGATTAGTGAGAGATAGAAATTAGAGAGATAGATGACTGCTTTGACTTTGGCTATAAGACTACTGAATGGATCTTTCAGAAGTTGTCTTTAATTTTATTTATTCCTCAATTCAGAAATTTCTAGAGGCTGCTTTTTCTTTTTGAGTCTGGTACAAACTGCTTTGGTATTCCAGATAATCTCTCACCCATGAGGCATTCCTCATTGGTACTCATGCATTTTTGTGCCTGCAACATGCTCTTTTTTATGTGTTTTGACTTAAGTTTTCCATTTCCTGGTGGATTGTTTGCTCATTTCTGTCTATCCCTTCTTCAAGTCCCATCTCAAGACTAACTACATCTTGCCCTGGCCGAGTAATTCAGTTGGTTGAAGCATCATCTTTGTGCCAAAATGTTGTCGGGTCAATCCTCAGTGAGGCAGGGCACAGGCAGAGGTTGTGATCTGGGCATGTATAGGAGGTGCCATCGATGTTTCTCTCTTACTTAGATGTTTCTCTTTCACATCGATGTTTTTCTCAACCAATAAACATATCTTTGGGTGAGGATTTAAAAATTATTTTAAAAAATAAAAAGACTAACTGCCTCTTGAAACCCTCTCTGATGACTTCCACCTACTGTTATCTTTCTTCCCTAGATTCATCTTGAAAATACTTTCTGTTGAGAAGTTCAAAATCTAATTATACACCTTTTGTTTTTTTATAATTTAAAATTACATACACTTCTCTTATTTTCAATAGGTGCTGAGTTCTTTGAAGGGTTAGGTTATATTTTATATTTTATTGTTTCTCTTAGCATGGTATACTAACTACTCTGGGTACACACTCAATGTTGAAAGCTTTTAAGGAATTTTCTTTTAAATTTCAAACACTGGCAATTTGTAATATTAGAGCTACTTCTTTATATAAATGTGCCTATTTTCATGCTTGTCACATAGTACTGCCCTTACTTAGTAAATTTCATTAGAATCCAACTTTGTAGTAGATCCCAAGTCAAAGAGTATTTTTCTACTGTTTCATGGAAAGTATGAAATTAGAGCAACAGCACTAAATCCAAGTTTTCTGAGGTACTTTATCCTGTCTTCTCCTTTCAGCATCTCCTTAATGTGTGTCCTTAAGTATATATTATTCACTTACCTTTGACATCTGTTCACTGACTACCTCCTGTAGCGTTACTAAATAATGTATGTGAGTAGATGGAGATGAATTGTGTGTGTTAATTCAACCCTAAGAGAAGAGATTGGAGTATTTTAGGAAGATTAATCCTTGTTAAACTCTATCTAATTGATCTGTGTTTGCACTGTTCCTGTCTGAGTTTTAAAATTTTAATAAAATGTCTATTGGAATTGCACTTAAGAAGACATTTGAATATCTATAATGTTAGATATTAAAATGATCTAAGAACACTTGGTTTAAGGAAATTGAGCTTAAACATTTTTGTTGGGTTTTGGCTTTTGTTTTATCACAGCCTCTTAAAAAATCGGAGATAACTTTTAAAACCATCTTAAATTATTATTTTAAATAATATAAGCATTCTCTTTCTTTAAAAGCATATAAAATAACTTAAGAGTGTTCAGTTTTATATATATATAGACACACATGTATATAAAGTGTATATATACAATTTACATTTGTATATATGTATATATAAACATAAACATAAACATAAATATACACACCCAATTTTTTGATTGGTGTCGTAGTTTCAGCAGGGCTGAAAAACTACAACAACTGTGGATACCTGACTTTAGAAGTGTCCTAACATTATCTTACCCTTCTTCATTTCAGAGACTGGTTCTTCAACAATGAATGTCACTAGTCTGGAATTTAATTTCATGTGTGTGCATGCATGTGAGAGAAAGAGACAGAGAGAGATTTTTTTTCCCCTTGGTTAACCAAAGTACTAAAAAATAACAATTGTATGAGGCAGGCTGTGTCTTCTTCAACAGCGGTTTATATTGGTTTAAATAATTTCTTTTGAGGTCAATACTTTAGCATATCTTAACTTCTATGAATGTTCTGTTCTTTTCTCAAATTTTCTTATAATAAAAGATAATGCCCTTGTCATGGGGATATAAAGTACAGCACAGAGAGAATAGTCAACAATATTGTAATAACTGTGTATGGTACCAGGTGGGTACTAAACTTACTGGGGAATCACATCTAAGTTACATAATTATCTAACCAACCACTATGCTCTATACATGAAATTAAAATAACATTGGATGCCAACCGTAATTTAAAAATATAACATATTTTTTAAAGTACTCCTTACTAATGGCTTCATAGGAATTGGGATTTTGTCATGCATTGGCTTTTTACTTGCTTTGCAGGTTGTGTGTATTCGCTCCACTTGGAATGCTCTGTCTCCAAAGCTGAGCTGTGACACGAGACCTCTCATTTTGAAGACCCTCAGTGAGCTGTTTTCTCTGGTTCCTTCCTTAACAGTCAATACAGCTGAATATGAGGTATGCGTTTGGAGCTCAATAAATTGTTTTTACATTGGAAAGACTTGTTTTATAATAATTTTTGGAAAAAAATATTTGTAATTCTTTGTCAAAAATCCTCTAGCACTTTTTATTTTGAGAATATTTCGATATCTTTATAGACTTTTAGGAGTAGGAGGCTACCCACTCTTATCAATTCTGTGTCTTTAAGACTTATTTACATAAAGGATACCAAATTTTTATTATGAGAGTCCAGTCAAGATTTGAAAAAGTATGTTAAAAATAGTGTTTCTAAAACAATAGAATTCATTAGGCTAACATTTTAAATTCATTTTGTTGGTATTTTAATTTCTAAAAAAATGTACAGAGACTTTTTTAAAAAGCAGGACAGATTCTCTCATTAGTGTGGACATACTGTCATTTTGTTCCTGGCTTTGCCATAGAGATTTGATTTTTACGTGTTTCCATTTTCTGTATATACCTGTCATCTTTGTCTGTACTCTGCAATGAGGATGATTATAAGTTAAGCCATCCTAGAAGAAGAAAATAGTTTTATGAACGACTTTATGTTTGTCATTGTAATAAATTAAAACACTAAGTGAAAGATCCTTTGCTATAAGATTAATACATTCCTGCTTAACATTTTCTTCATTAACTCTTCTTTGAGTGAAACAGAGAGAGTGGTGAATTTACTTATGCTTCCTCTTTGGCAGCCATACCCCCTTCCATGTTCACCTTTTCCTTTTCCTCCGAAGGGTGGCAGTTCACGGCAAGTCTTGGTGAACTTTTAGTTTGATTCATGGACTGATAAACTACCCTCCCGTCATAGTCCAGTAATAATCCCCGTCATGTTTTAGATCACTTGGTAAGACAGAATTGTAGGATAATACTTCTAATCATTCTAAATAACCATGAATAAAATCAGATTTGTCCTGAGTATGCAGCAGCTAGCACAGTGCCTGGCACGTAATGTATTCAGTAAGTAGTTGCTGAATGCATGACTGAACGAGTACATTGTGAGTTTATTCTCACATCGCAACATTTGTTTTACTGTATTAAAAATAAATCAGGTTGGGACTCCTAGAGTACATAGTTCACCAACAGTCTTTCTTTATGGTTGCTATTCACTGGTACATACCTTTATGTTGTCAGAAAGTCTGCCAGGCTACTGAAACAGAGCTAACACTAAAAATCAAAGTAAGGGCAAGTTGTGTATATTTATTTTCTGTTTTCAAGGACTGAATTCACATACTTTTATATTGCTTATACTTTTGAGTTATTCAGGTTTTATTATAGGTTAATTTAGGAAGTGATTTGTATGTACATTTCTTATGTTTACATACCAATGGCTATAAATTGTCTTTTGACTTAGAGGTGGGTTTATTCTTCTTCAGATTTTACATTGGCATTTTATTTTGGTTTATTTTCACGCTTATATTAATAAGGTTCTTCTGTTGTTCATTCCATCTATCAGTTTCCTCCCAGGAAAGGTGATCCCCTCAGAGACCTAGTCCACATAGAAGCAGAAGTAAAGAAATGTAGAGGGAAACATCTCTTCATCTGTCTCTCTCTGTTCCTCTTTTTCCTCATCACCCACCTCCACCTTGTTCCTCCTTCTCTGTGTATGTTTAAATAATTTGTTTTCTGTTAACTGCTTAGAGGTTGTTTGGATGTAAGCCAGAGTTGAAAAAAGTAATGTTCCCAAAGCATTTCGTTGGTCATTGCTATCCCTAGTCACCTCAGTGCCTTCTGTTTGCCTGAAATGATGTCCATCCTCTTTATTCCTAATCAATCAAACCTTTTAGAATCTGGCCTCACTCTTTTCTACCTTGTGCATGCACTCCAGGAAAACCGAGAGCCACTTATGGCTTCCTTATCTGTCCCTAAACTTTTCTGTTTCTTTTCCTTTGTTTATGTTGTTCTTTCTGCTCAGAATCACTTTCTTTTTCATCTCTAAGTTTAAAGTCTGTATTAGGATATAAGTAATTGATTTAACTTATCCCATTCTTTGAGAATTTTTCTGCAATCAGGAGTCTACTTCTCCAAAACTTCTTCATCTACGCTAATCTAAGAATGTTTATTTCCATTTTATACTGCAAGTGTATGTGTACATATATTATTTTACCCATTAAAAGCTTGTTGAAAATGGAGTCCATGTTTCCATTACTGTATTTTCTGAATTGCTTTACAAAATGCTGGTACATTTATTCATTGACTCAATATATTTATTAAAACTATACTAGGCCTTAGTGATACTAAGATACTATTTACAATAGATACTATTATAAAGTACCAATTATATTGCTCTAGCTGGTATGGCTCAGTTGGTTGGAGCATCATCCCATACATCTAGAGGCTGGAGGTTTGATTCCCAGTCAGGGAACATACACAAGTTGCAGGTTCAATCCCTAGTTGGGATGTGAATGAGAGGCAACCAACTGATGTTTCTCTCTCACATCCATGTTTCTCTCTCTCTCTCTCTCTTTCTCTCTCTCTCTCTCTCTCATGTGCGCCCCCTCTTCCAACCTCTTTGCCTCTCTTCCTTCTTTTCTCTCTAAAATCAAAAAACATATTTTCAAATTAAAAAAATTTTTAAAGTACCTATTATATATTTCCAGCACTATTCTAGTTACTTTATACCAATTAGATCTAATGTCTGATAAGAAGGTATTATTTTTTAATTTTATAGCTAAAGAATCTTTTTACAAGGCTCATTCATTCATGAAACAAATATTTACTAGGTGTCTGCTATATGCCAGACAAATAACTTCATCAACACTGTTGTTTCTAAGTGAAAGTGGGTGTCTAAACCAAGGCTTTATAGCTCTGTAGCCTATGTTTTCTGTTATACTGTGCTGTCAGTCTCTGCCTTCTGAAAGCTCAAAGATTGATAAAGAAGGTAGACACAAGCAATAATAATTACAACATTTGATGAGTATGGGTAGTATCAGGGCTTTGAGAGTATAGTGGAAGTGAGCAGCATTCTTAGGAGGAATCTAAGGAAACCTAATTTAATTGGTGCTATTAGACTAGGATCTTGAAGAATTAATGAAATGTTGCTTCCCACTGATGTTTGGGGAATAGAATATGCAAAGGCAAGGAGGAATACAAGAACCTTATATAATTTAGATGGGCAAGAATTTAGAAGTTGGAAGATAATTTTATGTACAATTATTTATTAGTTATTTGAGAAACTGGGCTGTGTGTTCTTTATGTTCTGGGTTCTATGGTCTAGGCCCTTAAATGAAAATGACAGGCACTGCTCAAAGGTATATACAGTGTAGCAGGGAGTTAACCGCACAGCAGATGCTGAAGTGTGCCACGTGACTACTTGGAGAGGAGAGATCGCTGCTGGGTAGGGGTCAGGAACAGTGGCGTGAAAGAGGACTGTGACATTTGTACTGGGACTTGAGAGGTCAGTAAGAAAGGATTAGGTTTCTAATTTTAATAGCCTTAAAACCCCATTGTGTTTCAATATCTGTGTATTTAATTTATGAGTCTGTTTCTGAGTATTTTCATTTTATGAATGATGGGTAAATACAGGTTAAGTCAATTACTAGTGGTAAAAATTTTAAAGTGATTTAATTTCTACTCTTTGCTACTTTACGTTGTTCATTTTTGTCTTAAAATTTTATTCTGATGTTTGTTGATTTTTCAGAATTTTAAAGTTCAAGTCCTCAGCTTCCTCTGGACCCACACTCAAAACAAGGTACTGCACGAGGGGTACAAGTAAAACAGAACCAAGCTGGGAAGAACTATCAGATAAGATTCTTGGAATAAAAAATATGGTGGCTTCCTGATTTTAAAAGAATTGTGACTATTCATAAGTTTCAACTTTAAAAATTATTCCCAATTTACTTTCATTAACACATTTTGACCATAAAGTTCACTTAACACTTTGTGAAGCTGACATTTGTCTGGAGAGGAACTGTTGCCATTGTTTCATGGCCCTTCCCTTTTCCTGCTTTGTCCCTCTCTCACAAGCAAGCATGGCAAACAAGCAAAAAGTCCCGTGCATTCCTTAGATATTGTTTCCAATTAAAGAGCATAGAGAAGTTATACCTGGGTGATGTTATACCTCACTCATGAGTGAAAGAGCTTAGAATCCTAAAAGCTAATTTTCCCTGTTAGTAGCTGGAACATCAGAATCCAGGTCCAGGCCAATCAGACTTTAAGCCTCATACATCTTTCACTAAGCTGTACTACCTCATGGGGCCTGAACGATTAAAGTTACTTTATGTTTGTCTAAGCTTGGATAAAAAGTTAGTGCTTCTGATTTCTCTACCCTATTCTGTTTTCTCTCTATTTCTGTTGGGACAGATGAGGCAAGTGAATACCATTTCCAAATTGCTTCCTCCAGAGTTGATGTTTAAAATGTGCTTTCTGTTAAATTTGTTTTACTGTCTAGGACCCAGTTGTAGCAAATGCTGCATATAAATCTCTGTCACACTTCAGCGCTGGAGAGCACACCATTCTTCATCTGCCTGAACAGGTAGGCCTTTCTGCTCTCTCACTGGTATCTCTTTACTGCTTGTTTTTACAACTTTATTTGTATCTCCCTCCCACCCCCCTAGCCCCTTAGAAGATTCATACCTGATGGATGTATGTGTAACTCTATATAGTTGTCTAGAAAGATAATAATTTATATCCATTATCTGTGTAATCTATAATGGTCTTAGAATCACAATGAATTTAAATCTCTCTGTAGAAGATAGAAGACACCTATGGTGCAAATGAGGGCTCCTTTAGATGACAGGGTGTATGACTGCATGCCTGTGCCTGTGGCTTACTCCAGACCTATGGCACCATAGGAACCGCTGTGCCCAGTTAGTGTGCCATCTTGGACTTGAAACCCAAGCCTGGCCTGCACCAACTAAGATTTATACCCCTGTGCAGCCAAAGATGTTTATATGTAATATAGAATAGAGAGGCCATGTGAAAAAAATCTACTATTTATTAGTTTAGCTTTAGAAGATGTGTAGGTGAGTACCAGGGAACTAAATGAGGAAAGTATTACTGCCTTTTATGAGATAACACATAGTGTAACATTATCTTAGCATTTAGAGTAAGCTAAAAATATCCAACCTTTTCTAGTATTTACCTAATAAAACCATTTAAAATGATCAGGTTATGTCTGGAGTTGTCTGATTTCATATTTAGTGTTACTACTAATTCAAATGCACAAATGCCTTTAGAATGTAAGGCAGACATTGTATTAGAAGTTATGTGTAACATTACCCAGAATCTGTCCTTGAGGCCAAAAGGCAAGAAGTTTTAGTGTGAATTTCTTGGGATCCTCAGACATTAAAATGGGTTTGTTTCATCTTCTAGATTGATCTTTAATGGAAATTAGATGTCAGTAAGAGCCAGGCAAACTTCTGTCTATTGAATTGAATAGGAGCCATCATATAAGAGTCACTGAAGGATAGGCTCTCATAAAACCAGTTCTAAGTAAGGCAGGTTTCCCATGTTATCAAGGACTCCCAAGATAGATTGACTGCCTTGTTATGCAGTTAGCACAAATAGGAAGCCTTAACAAAAAGTGTATTAAGACTTATAAAATTAAAAAATATGGGACTTTAGACTGTGCTATTGTGACTAGCAATACCCATAGATTCTTTAAAAAATTTTTTTTTTAATCCTCACCTAAGGACATTTTTTTCACTGTTTTTTAGAGAAAGAAGAAGGGAGAGAGAAACATCAATGCAAGAGAGAAACATTGATTGGTTGCCTCCCATACATGGCCAGACTTGGGGTGTTGAACCTGCAATCCTTTGGTTATGGGATGATGTTGCAACCAAGGCCCACTGGTGAAGGCACAGTACCCGTAGCTTCTGGAAGGAAGGAAGGAAGGAAGGAAGGAAGGAAGGAAGGAAGGAAGGAAGGAAGGAAGGAAGGAAGGAAAGGAGGGAGGGAGGGAGGGAGGAAGAAAGGAAGGAAGGGAGGGGAGAGAGGGGAGAGAGGGGAGAAGGAGAGAAGAGGAAAGGGGAGGGAAAGGAAGGAGGGAAGAAAAGGAAGGAAGGAAGATGAAATAAGGAAGGAAGGAAAGGGAGAAGAGGAAAGTAGAGAGGAAGGAAGGAAGGAAGAATAAAAGAAGGAAAGAAGGTAGAAAGAAAGAGGAGAAGAGGGAAGGGGAAAGAAAGGAAGGAGGAGCCCTGGCTGGTGTAGCTCAGTGGATTGAGCGCGGGCTGCGAAACAAAGTATCGCAGGTTCAATTCCCAGTCAGGGCACATGCCTGGGTTGTAGGCCACAGCCCCCAGCAACCACACATTGATGTTTCTCTCTCTCTCTCTTTCTCCCACCCTTCCCTCTCTAAAAGTAAATAAATAAAATCTTTAAAAAAAAGTCCGTTTGTTTCAAAAAAAAGAAAGGAAGGAGGAAAAAGGAAGGAAGGAATGAGAGGAAGAAAGGGAGAAGAGGGAAGGGGAGGGAAAAGAAGAAGGAAGGAAGGGAGGAAGGAAAGTAGCTATACGTAAATTTGATGATCAAAGTCCTACAATAGATTAGCTATAGCATCTTATTTTAATAAGCAATTGCTAATTTACATCACAATATAACAATTACTTTTCTTTTTAGCAATTATTCTTATAATATTCCAGCTGGAATATATAGTTTTTATTGAACAACTTTCACATTCACTTGACTGTTTCGTCTCTACCTCTTTTATTTGATGTTTTATTCATTATGCTATTACAGTTGTCCCATTTTCCCCCTTCACTCCCCTCCACCCTGCACACCCCCTTCCACCCACATTCCTCCCCCTTTAGTTCATGTCCATGGGTCATACATGTAAGTTCTTTAGCTTCTACATTTTCCATACTACTCTTACCCTCCCCCTGTCTATTTTCTACCTACCATCTATGCTACTTATTCTCCGTACCTTTTCCTCCTCTCTCCCCCTCCCACTGCCCTGTTGATAATCTTCCATGTGATCTCCATTTCTGTGGTTCTGTTCCTGTTCTAGTTGTTTGCTTAGTTTTTGTTTTTGTTTTTGTTTTAGGTGTGGTTGTTGATAATTGTGAGTTTGCTGTCATTTTACTGTACATATTTTTTATCTTCTTTTTCTTAGATAAATCCCTTTAACATTTCATATAATAAGGGCTTGGTGATGATGAACTCCTTTAACTTGACTTTATCTGAACAGCACTTTATCTGCCCTTCCATTCTAAATGAAAGCTTTGCTGGATAGAACAATCTTGGATGTAGGTCCTTGCCTTTCATGACTTGGAATATTTTTCTCCAGCCCCTTCTTGCCTGCAAGGTCTCTTTTGAGAAATCAGCTGACAGTCTGATGGGAACTCCTTTGTAGATTACTGTCTCCTTATCTCTTGCTGATTCTAGGATTCTCTGCTTAATTTTAATCTTGGGTAATGTAATTATGATGTGCCTTGGTGTGTTCCTCCTTGGGTCCAACTTCCTTGGGATTCTGTAAGCTTCCTGGACTTCCTGGAAGTCTATTTCCTTTGCCAGATTGGGGAAGTTCTCCTTTATTATTTATTCAAATAACTTTCCCACTTGTTGCTCTTCCTCTTCCCCGTCTGGTACCCCTATAATTCAGATGTTGGGATGTTTAAAGATGTCCTGGAGGTTCCTAAGCCTCTCCTCATTTGTTTGGATTTTTGTTTCTTCATTCTTTTCTGATTGGGTGTTTCTTTGTGCCTTCTGTTCCACTCTGTTGATTTGAGTTTTTCCTTTATTTCACTTAGTGTAGCCTTCATTTTTTCATCTAATTTGCAATCAAATTTAACCAATTCTGTGAGCATCCTGATTACCAGTGTTTTGAACTATGCATTAGATAGGTTGGCTATTTTTTCATCACTTAGTTGTATTTTTTCTGGAGCTTTGATCTGTTCTTCTGTTTGGGCCTTTTTTTTTTTTTTTGTCTTGACCTGCCTGTTACATACTGAGGGGCGGAGCCTTAGGTATTTACTGGGGTGACAATCCACATGGCTGTTTTGTGGCCCTGTATGTGGGGAAGGGGTCCAAGAGGGAACAATGGCACTTGCTCAGCTCTCTGCCAGATTTCAGTCAATTCCCCTGATACCCACAATCAAATTGGGCCCTTTTGGTGCTGGTTCCCATATGGATGGGTTTGTGTACGTTCTAACACCCTGTGGGTCTCTCCAATGAAATCTCCTGTGAGGCTGGGTGTTTCTCCCAGCACCTCAACCCCCATAGGTGTTTTCAATCAGTGGTTTGAGGCTTTATTTCCCCGCTCTAGGACCCTGAGTTGGGTGGTCAGTCCTGCTACCCAGTTTTGCCTGGTTTATCTGCGCGTGAATATGGGACCTCCCGGTCCACCAGCTGCCTTGCACACTGCACCCTGTTCCACAGTCTTCCCTGTCGCTGGGCTCACCAGCCGCTGCTTGCATACCTGGGTCCACCCCTCCTACCGATCTGGATGAATGTGCCTTCTTTAACTCCTTGGTTGTCGGACTTCTATACAGTTCAATTTTCTGTCAGTAGTGATTGTTTTTTTGTTTCTAAATTTTTGTTGTCCTTGTTTTGGTTGTATGAGGAGGCAGTGTGTCTACCTATGCCTCCATCTTGACTGGAAGTTCCTCGTCTCTACCTGTTGAAATGTTGATATGTTTATTTTATTTTTCTACTTTAGGGTTATATCCATTTTCTGATTATGGTTGTTAGCATTTATACTCAAATAAGAGGTATACTCATTCAAATATAAGGACTTGCTTAATGTAACTTTTCCTTATTTTCTGATCCCTAATAGCCATAAATAGCTCTTTATATCTTCCCACTTAAAGGATAGTGATGTACATAGAGTTGGTATTTCTATATATGCTTGGGTTTTCACCACCAGCATGTGACAAGCTGTAAAGGAAATCTCTAAGGTTTGTTATTTATGCTTTTCAATCTTTTCTTCAGCCCTAACTCCCTCCTGGGGTATGAATAGTGGTTCACTATTGTGTGTATTCTCAACTGGGATTAAGATGAACAGACATAAGTGGTTTAAAAGAATCTACCTCTGACACCCATCTTCTAGTCTAGAGGATCAGCCTCCTCATGGAGAATTGTTGTTTCCAAGCCTGTACCATGCAATCTTCTTTTTATTGATTAATGATTTTCAATTTGGCTATTTGAATACCTAAGGAATGAAAGTCCTGAAAGCCATCAGTGTATTCATATCACAGACAAGTCCCAAAGTTCTCAAAGGCTAAGGAGACAACTAAGTCAACCTCCTACCTCTGTTTTGTAGATGATGACAGTGATGCAAAACAGGCTCATTTTCCATAAAAGCTTATTTTCAGTTGTTTTAGAGGTCCCTGCCAGGTAGGGACTTTTATAATATAAAAACTAAGGTTCTTTGCTGTCAGAGACTACTCACTCTGCCTTAAGGGCAATTTCATTTAAGCACAAAACTGAAGGTTACCCATACACCTTTCCAGTGAAAGTATGTCCACCTTCTCTTTTCTATTTATGGAAACTTGTGAAATAATCTTCTAGATGAGCACAGTATGAATTTGAAGTAAAATTTTTTTCAAAAGATATAACGCATTCTTATCAACATGGCTACACTTGTGGATTATAGTTCAGCTACTTTTGTGAGCACTACATTTCTTTAAATTTACTGAAGAAAGATTTCTTGTTGACTAATGCATTAATTTAAAACATGGAGTTCATTGAAAGCTAATAGGCTGGTGGAGCAAAAGGTGTTAGAGGAGTGGTAGACATCAGAGAAAACACTGAGGGTTGAATAAGGAATTGCATCTGGCAGGAGTGTCTAACCTTGTGACGTCTCTGAGCCAAGCTGGAAGAAGAGTTGTCTTGGGCCACACATTAATACACAGTGACACATAATCACTAAAAATCTCATAATGTAAGTAAATTTACAATTTTGTGTTGGGTCACATTCACAGCCATCCTGGGATGGGTGTGGCCCTTGGGTTGCAGGTTGGATACCCCTGAATTAAGGGAAGATGGAAAATATCAATGAATAATAAAGCTGAATGAGATACCATTTGAGTTAAAGATAAAAATTCATTAACTCATCTTTCTTATCATTGGTTTGTTTTTAGGAAGTTCTGTGAGATTAATGGTGATAGATACTTAACACTTGAGTTGTTTTAATCATTATTTTTTGGACATACACTAGGGGCCAGGCCATCTTATGAGCTGAAAATGTTGAATGAATCCATGTGTTTTGTTGGCTTGTAAAAATGTTGTTAATTACTTGAAACTTGCAAATCTATAGTTGGTCAAAAAATTTGGGGGGCTCATTGAGGACCTATTATTGATTCTAATATTAAAAAATAGACATGAATGCTTTCTACCTTTTAGTTTGCATTTCTTCTGTTTTTAGCTATTTATCCTTCTCCTCTGCCTTAGTTTGTTAAAAAAAAAATCAATCTCCCCCAAAACAGCCAACCAAACAAAAAAAACTATACAGAATTATTTTCCTAATAAAACAATCAGTAATGGATAAACATTTAGGTAGAAGATTGGCTCTTCTCTCTGATTTGGGTTCATTTAAAAATATTTAGCTACTTAAAAATTAAACATTTTTATTATAGAGATCTTAAAATAAGTTGTTGATTTCTTGAGTTAATTTTAGATGTGAATATAATATAAAATGACTCATTATTCATGCCAGCTTCATATTAATATGGTGTGACCTGTTAGGCTTTGATTTAAGTGAATGTCACTGCATTCATCAGAAGCTGTTTCTTTTTTTAAAGGAATTTATGCAGATACTTGATGTGTTCCAAATAAAACCCTCTGTTTATGTTCAAACTCCTTGATTTTTATAGGTTACACACAAAGAAAGGTAGTTGAAAGGTTATCTAGCTCAGAACCCACAGTAAGACATTTTGTTTTTCCAATATAAGTTTTCCAGCATTCAATCAGAAGATTTTAAAAGTAATTTATCATTTTATATTTGGCTCTCCATTAAAGTTTCTCCAGTAAAGTTAGCTATAATTGGAAAGTCATAGTAGTGTGTGTACGTGTGTGTTTGTTTTAAATATATGTGCAGTTTTCCTGGGTGTTTTAGCAGCTAATGTAATACAATCACCCAAATTATATAATATTAACAGGCATTTTTTCATACGATGTCTCAGTTTTCCTTAGTTATACTCACATTGATCGTCTTCAGTTGTACACAAGCCAAGGGAAAAGGCTGGAGCTCACATTGGGAAGCTGGAATAAATAGCTCTTTCAGAGATGAGCAGAACAAAGGACAGAAATGTAATGGAACCAAGTTCTAATAATAAGTGCTAATTTGTTCAGGAGAATCAACTTACATTTGAAGAAACAAAATTGAAGGAGTCATTATATCATTATAAGTAGGCAGAGTTATGTCATCTCTACTTAAATTACAGTACATTTGTAGCTTCCTACAGATATAGGCATTCAGTTGTATGAATATGAAATTAGATAGCTTAAGATGGATGAGTGGATCAGTTTTGTTTAATCCCCAACCTAGTAGGTCTTCCTTTAGTGGCTCTCAGAAATATTGATGTCCTGGTTGCTGTGACTTATTTAACCAATTTAGGTTGATGGAGCAGAAAGTCTGGGTAGGCTAAAATCTGTGGGAAAATGATTCTATTACTTTTATAGTAAATAATTATGGAAAGTGAGGCATTTGATCATTTGGCGTAGTTCATATACCAGTTAAAGTCCCACTGAAGCTGATGGAGGTTTCCACTACTCCTTCTTCTTCCTCTTGTGCCTCTAACACCTCCCTCTCTTCGTCTCCCTTCTCTCATTTCCTCTTTGCCTCTTTGTTATAGCCTTCCTTCCTTCCTCCTCTTCCTCTGTTCCCCACTATGGCCTTCCTTCTATTTAAACAGATTAATTGAGATATGATTCACATTCCATTTAATTCACCCACTTAAAGCATACAATTCAGTGGTTTTCATTTATTCAAGGAATTGTGCAACTAATCACAGAGCAACCACAGTCTAATTGTAGAATACCTTATTATCAGTCAATTCCCATTACCCCTTTCCAAGCCCTAAGCAACCATTAATCTACTTTCTGTCTCTAAATTTGCCTGTCCTGAACCTTTACTGTAATGAAATCATATAGTGTGGGGTCTTTTGTGACTGGCTTTCTTCACAGCATAGTATTTTCAAAGTTCATTTCTGTGTAGCATATCTGCACTTCATATCTTTTTCATGACAATAATATTACAGTATAGATATGCCACATTTTGTTTATGTTTTCATCAGTTCATGGGCATTTGAGTTGCCTCCATTTTTAAATAGCTATTATGAATAATGCATTAACATTCATGAACATTCATGTACAAGTTCTTGTATGATCATATATTTTCACTTCTTTTGGTTACATACCTAGCAGTAGAATTTCTGGGGCATATGATAACTGTGTTTAACATTCTGAGAAACTGCCAAACTGGTTTCCAAAGGGGCTCCACCATTTTACATTCACACCAGCAGTGTATGAGGATTCTGATTTCTCCACATCCTCGCCATTCCTCTGAGTTTTCATATTAGCTTAAGTGTTTACTTCTGCCCTTCGCCTCCCTAAGTCTCCTATAACTCTAGTGTGATGTATAACAGAGCTTCCTAGTGCTTTGATGGACTAGTGTGGTAACTGGTACTCCTGATGTAGTCTCTAGCCGAAAGCATTGTCTGTTTCTCCAGTGTGCTGTTTACATATTATTTTCAAAATTTGTACTGTGGATGTGTAAAAAGTCAGGAAGTAAGGCAAATGGACCCAGACCAACTACTTTACTGGAAACTTTTTAGTCAACTAGGACTGGTTAGAATCTCTAAGATAATTCCTGATGACATCAACCCTGGTAACTTCCAAATAGGTATGCAGACCAGAGATACTTGGAAAAGTCAACTTGTCAGAACCAAGAGGTTTGCAGACATGCCAGGGTTTCTCTCGTATGCATTAATATCAACAAATGTCCCATGTGAAGCATGGATTATTGTTATCTCTGTAATTATGGCTGGCTCAGTTTTCTGAGAATTAGGTACTCAATATTGAATCGGAATTAAACCTTGTCTTTGAAAGTGCTCGGGTAGTCAGGTTGCTTTCACTCCTTAACTGTTGAAGAGAACACTAGTTATGGTTGAAAGGCTTCATTGGAGTTGAGATTATGGTACTTATGAGAAGCATTTCCTCTTGTTTTTAAAATCCCCATGCAAGAACCCTGAATTAGTGCAGTTCCTAAATGGAACAGTGCTTTGGGGACCTATGAAGAAGGCAGTCTGCAGGAGTTGTTAATTATTTCTAAAAATAACTCCAGGAGACAGGCTAATGGTAATGACTGGGTTCTGGCACTTTATGGTTATAGCAACTACTTTTATATATTTGGATTTCCTTCCCTAATGCTTAATTATCTCCATGTGGGCATCATGATGGTGCGTCATTGTAAGTATTAAAAATTTAATTAATTGCTTGACAGTTATATCTTGTGTAAATTACAATAGTGGTAATCTTTTTACGTTTTTTATTTTTGGTTCAGACAACCCTAACTAATCACAGAGCAACCACAAAATCTTCAAATTGCAAATCACATACAATAAAGTATAGCTACCAATTATAGATTTTAGTGTTTTTATATTCTAGAGCAACAAACTGTCAAGTCAAAAATAAAGTCAACTAAAGCACTCTGTCCTTTCCTGATCTCTACTATACATCTCACTGGAAGATTTTAATTTTGTCATGGAGATATGGCTGGAATCACAAATTAAAAAAAATCTATTCAGACGAGGAAAATATTTAATTATAAACCATAGCAGTTCAATATATTCAATGTGTCGGTATTTGCATTTTACTGTCACATGGTATAAGATTTTATTAGTTTTCTATAATAGTCATTGCTTTTGTTGGTTTATGGTGATTTTTTTACTATATATTATCATTAGTGCTTTACATGGATCTGGGATTGTATCTAATAAGATAATTAGAGGTTAACATTTAGTTAATCTGAAAATGAATAGTTTTAAAAAATTTTAATGGTCTTTTGACATTATAGAGCAATGCATCTGACTCAATTTTTAAATCTTGACATAAAAAGGACAAAGAAAAGATTTTACATAATGTTATAGTGTTGTCTTCTCTGTCATTGCAGATAAGAGCAGAAATCCCTATTCCTGATGAGCTAGATGAAGATGAAGATGATGAGGGTGATGAAAAGGATGTGGATCTTTCAGTTCCTGGCTATTGCTATCTCAAACTGTTGTCACTCACCTCACCTTTGGTTTTACCAGGTGATGCTTATGTATTTAGTGGCAGGGAAGCTAGCAGTTTTCAGTGATTTTTACCTATCTGATTGTGTTCTTTTGTGACACATAGATATTAATAGCTCACTTTAATCTTGCATACATATTTTCTATCTGAAATGCCAAATGCATCCATCTGTTCTATAGGGCTCCTCAAAGTAGTACAGTGTTCAAAATATTCTGAATATGTTAGACTTGAATAAAATTGAACTGGAAAACTAATTTAAATAACCATTTTTACTGAGAAGTTAAAATTTCTTTCAAATTCTGAATTTCTTCTGTAAAACAAATTTGCAGTGGTACTTTAAGTCACTGATTGAAATAATGGTTTATTATGATATAAGGTAAGTGAAAAGATCATTAGAATCTTCCAAGATTTACTGGCTACTTTCATAATTATAAATTTAATCTTTCTTTGGAATTATTCCAAAGATGGTACCGATATCGGGGAACTATAAATTAATGCCTTTAAAAAGTAGATCAAATTGTATGGTCATTTAGTTTCAACATAAATTTTACAGAACCATGGCATTTAAAAATTATTCTAAGTATATGTAATTATTCTAATTCAGTATTAGCCAGCATTTTGCTGAACATGCATCCATAACCTATCCTGTCCCAGTTCTAGCTTGGATGTTCATGGATGTAAAAATTTAATTTCTGAAAGTTAAGTTCAATAAACCCAAGAAATATTATATCTTCACAATCATTATTTCACTATACTGTAACACTGGAAGATTTTTCCTTGGTTTCATCTCACATGGAGATTCTTAAGAGATTCAGCCATATGCATATTATTTATTTCTAGATAAAGCTCCTGTCCCAAATCCCCACCTCCTTTCATTAGAGAAAATTTAATGGTACAACGTAGACAAAGACTTCACCTTTTCTTTTTTCCTGATGCCCTGAACAAGCAGCAAAGACTTGTTTCCTGTTCCTCTTTTCTGTTTTTCCCACTTGCTACATCAGGGTTTTCTTTTGACTGTATGACTTGCTCTTTTTTATTACTGAGCTGTATTCCACTGTAGGATGTACTACTGTTTCTTTATCCACTCATCTGTTGAAAGACATTTAGGTTGTTTCAGAGTCGAGGACCTTTCCTGTAGTTAATATTGAGTTGAAGGAAAAAGTCATCAGTTACCAAAGTTTGTCTTGTATACTAAAATAGCCTTAGAGTTAAAAATCCTCTTGAGCTTTTTAAATGTTGATGTTTCCTCTTACATAGACCCCTCACCCGCTGGGCATATGGTATGAGAAAAAGGGGAGATACTTGTTGCATCATCTGCTGTTTCTGTCCTCCTGGTCTGTGCAGTGCTGTGCTGGCCATGAGGCGGCTCCTCTACATAGTTTGTCCTTGATGGCTGTTAGCCCCTTTCCCCAAGAAGGGGAGGATTTGAGATCAGCAATTGTATCTGTTTGAGAAAATTCAATAGTTAGAGTTAGGTGGGTAGTGTAGATGCTATCTGTGTCCAGCAAACCATGTCACCATGGACAAAGTTCTTCATTTTCCTGTGCCTCACTCTCCCTGGGAGTACTCAGAAGAGAACCAGGAAAAAGCACCAGTCTCAGGAATGTACACCCTAACAGGCCCACCGTGGATGACACACGTTAGGCAGGAAACCAGAATGCATTGGATGTGAGTGCGTCCTGGCCCTTTTCTCCTCTTCATTTTTTAACTTCTCTGAAGTTTTTTCAAAAAACTTACAAGAAGTCACAAAAATAGTTTCAGGAGTTTCTGTTTACTTTTACCTAAGCTGCTCTGGATTGATAACATCTCACATACCCATAGTTTAATATTAAAGCTGGGAATTTCACATTGGTACAACATTGTTAACTATAGACCTATTCAGATTTTTCTAGGTTTCTAAATATAGTATATAAACTTTTGGAATTAGCACTTTTTTTTCACTCAGGACATTTTGAGTCCACCCCGATAGTTGCCTGTATGACTTGGTCTTTTTTATTACCGAGCTGTATTCCATTTTAGGATGTACTACTGTTTCTTTATCCACTCATCTGTTGAAAGACATTTAGGTTGTTTTAAAAATTTATAACTAACAATGTGACCTACAAATTTTCAGTTTTGTTCAAATTCTGACCTGGTCTTCTGTAAGGAAAATCGTAGGGCAAGACTCAATGAGTGGGGAAAAAATTCTACATGGTAGCTTAGTGGCTAGGGAAGATGGTGTTTTTATATCAGTTGCAGTCATGGCATCTTATCCTCATTTAAACTATTCTCAGGGCTGGAGTTATTATGAGAATCCTTAGTTCTCTGAAGAACTTGACAAGTAGACAAATTTACATTCCTGGGTTAGTCTGTTGCAGATGTGGACTTATTTCTTGACATATATCAGCTTTTGCCAGAATAGGATTCCGTATAGGAAGCATGAAATTACCTTCTCTCATCATAGCGCTGGTGTCCTCACAAACAGTGATTGTAGCTATATCCCAAAAAGTCTATACTTATCCTCAGCGGGCTTGAAGCAGTCATATGCAGGCATGTGAATGCAAGTATTGGGTATATGGTCTGCAGTTGGATATTATTTATCTCTTTCAGTTAGATATTGATTAGGGTCTTGACAGGAAAGGCAAATTCAGATGAAGTAATTGATTTGAATGTGGTTGAATGAAGGGACTCTTTATACTTATGGTGTCAAGGTTAAAGGAAAATTCATAAGCCATGGTGAATCCTCCCAGAGTGGTTAATGTCCCTTAGCTAGAAGAGGTAAGGGGAGGTAGCAGTTAGGAGAATGAGAGAGAGCATCTGTGTCATAAATAGGGGAGCCAGGGCCTTCCAGAGCAATGTAGGCTACCTGTAGCAAACCTGCAGGTGGGTATTGGGGAATACAGGCCTGACCCCACTGTGTTTCCACTCTCTGGCCTCCTGCCAGTGTTTCCCTTTCAATGAAGCCAGAGGACAAGGGAGCCTGATGATGCATTTGTTAAAGGTTATTCTTCCAGGGCACGGAGCACAGTTGAGAGGGCAGAGGATGGTCCTAGAGCGGGTAAATGGAAAGCATCCCACACAGTGTTCTCTTGGCTTTGAATGGAGAAGCTTGGTTGCATCTAGGGTGTTTCTATATGGGATTAACAAGACTGGGTACCCAATAGATGCTCTAGTGAGCCCTTACTGCCTTTAATTTCATCATGGTCTTTAAAGGAGACTTTTTAAATCTATTCAGAATGAAATTCCAGTTTTGTTAGGTGTATCCTTGCCTTTTTGTTCCTGTAATAAGAAGCACATGCAGTAGTTTCCTTTTTTGTTTACTTTTAATGTTTTCGTTTTTTGCATTGGGCAACCTCTAGTGGTTCTTAGGAAAATGACACTTGCATATGAACCTGTAATCTTATCAAGTATTTTGTTTGGATATCTATTGTCTTCTGATCCCACATTTCTGTGTTACCTTATAATATGTAAAAATGGCAAGTAATAAGCTTTTTGGAATTAATTAGAGGCACCACAGCCAAGAAATTAATATTTTGTTTTTTAATAATTGTATTGATATTGCTACAGAAAGATAAAAGACCTCTCTGAAAATACCTAAATAACAAGAAGCAGCCAGTCACATGGATGTCTGGGACTAGTGTGTTCCATGTAGAAGGAATAACAGGTGTCATGGCCCTGAGTTAGCTATGAACTTTGTGTTACTGAGGAATGGAAAAAAGGCCCAGTGGAAGTGTGTCTTTAACATCTCTAGCAAGGAGGGCAGGTGGTTGGAGAGAAGGTAAGAGGGGAAGTCAGGCTCAATCATAGACTTGATCATTGTCAGAAGTTTTGATGTTATTCCATCTACAGTGAAAAACCTTTGGAAGATGTTAGGAAGGGGAATGATGTAAAATTCTGGCTTTTGAGTAGACAAGATGGTTTGTAGGGGTGGTCATGAGGAGTAGAAAACAACAAACTTGTACTTAAATTAGGATGAGGAAGAGAGGAAATATGACTGGGCAAGTAGCAGTGAAAATGGAGATGGATTTAGGATGTATTTTTGAAGGTTGATCTAGGCCTTGCTAATGGAGTACATATCAGGAGTGGGAGAAAGAGAGAAGTTAAGGATGGCTACGTTTTTAAGCTTGAGCAACTGGGCACCATGGTCTGACTTGGGGCACTAAAAAGAGGATAAGGATCAAGAGTTCTCTTTTTACTTTGTGAAGTTTGGTCTGAAATAGGCTAAGTTGTTATTGTTGCTGTTGTGTGCACACGTGTGTGTGTGTGTGTGAGAGAGTTAAGAATGAATGTTTCTCTTCTAGTGTACTGTAATACTCTACTTTTGATCTTCTTTTATCTCTTTCAGCTTTGGAGGAATTTTTTATGTCGCTCATGAAACAAGAAATGGTGAATATGCCCCGTGGGGTCTATCACTTGGCATTAAAAGGAGGTGCCCGCTTAGACCAAGGAAAGATGGTAGCAGGAATCCCCAATTTTATGTTGAAAATGTATGAAACAAACAAGCAGCCAGGTTTGAAACCTGGCCTTGCAGGTGAGCATATTACATTGTACTCAACCACAAGTTGTTTTGCTTTTTTTTTCTTTCCATCTCACATGTATTTAACTTTGAAATATATCTGGTTAGGGAATATTTGGGTTGTGTGTCATCTCATTTTTTTAAATTAATTACTTTATTGTTGTTCAATTACAGTTGTCTGCATTTTCTCCCCACCACTCCCCCCTACCCTGCAAGTTTTTAATATAATCTTTTAACTTCCATTTTTGAGTAGGGGGGAGTACTTCATGGCAGGGCATTGCTGCTGTTGCTAACATGTAGACACAGCAGGATAAATGAGAAAAATAAATCCCATTTTAAAGGTATTAGAGAACTGTAGAAGCAAACATGAATAGATAGACAAAAAGACCATAATAGGAGACCCTTTGAGGACTGTTCCCATCCCTGAGGAGGGTATTCAGTGATTCTGGTTGTGGGCTAGGATTGGGGGTTGGCCAGGAAGAGGCCAGTTAGAGGACAGAGAAACCAGTGGACCTTTTAGTGGTTCCACTAGACTAGGGTGATGTGATGGTTAATTTTATATGTCAGTGTGATTGGGCTAAGAGATGCCCAGGTAGCTACTAAAACATTATTTTTGTATATGTCTGTGAGTGTGTGTTCAGAAGAGGTTAGCATTTGAACGTGTAGATTGAGTAAAGAAGATCATCCTCACCAATGCGTTTGAGCATCGTCCAATCTGTTAGGGGCCTGAATAGGACAGAAAAACAAAGGAAGGGTGAAACTGCTCTCTTTGCATGAACGAGTATGTCTATCTTCTGCCCTTGGACATTGTCACCACTGGTTCTCAGGCTTTTAGACTCAGACTGAATTATACCACTGGCTTTCCTGTTTCTCCAGCTCACAGATATTTACCTCTTTTTCGTTCTGTTTCTCCGAAGACTCTGACTAATATAAGAGACAAATTGGAGATTTTCCTCGTAAGATACTTGCTGAATTTTGATTTTGCCCTGAAAGTTAAAGAACTAGGCTGATGGCTTCTTCTGAAACGCGGAGTGAAATCTCATTCAGTCTTGTGCTTAGGGAACAAAGACTGGCTAGGAGAATGGGTCTGAAAACAAAGCACATGAGTAGTGAATTAATACTAAAGATAAAGCTCTTTGTACCTGGGTGCATTTACTGATTTTTTTGACCTGAGCTAGAGGTTGAAACTGAGGCTTGACCTTAGTAAAAATCTGATGCAAGAGACAGAGAAACCAACAGAGATCTTGACATTTATATGGTATCTGAGTGACAACACAGGAGACTTGAGGAACCCCCAATACGCAGCCTGTGTCTCCCTCCAGATATTTGCCAAGATTTGGAACTTTAAGGGATGGAGAGGTAAAGAGATAAGCTGAAAACCTATGAGGACAGTTCAGAATCTCTCGTAACTATTCCATACTTAGGAGTCTGATTAGACTGTCGATTGAAAATCTTGGGGAGGCATATCCTAGGAACAGGGTTGAACCAGACATAGACTGAGATTTACCAGAGCTGTAAATAAGCCTAACCCAGTCCAATCCCTGATTTGATTGTGAAGATCATTCCTTCACTCTATCTGCCTAACAGAGGAGAGGAGTTTAACACCATTTCAACTAAAATTTCTGTGGTTCTTTTATTTACTATCCAGTATACAATGAAAAAGTTCTGGACATACGAAAAAGGAAGAAGCTAGAAATGTAGGGACATTTCATGGAGATAATGAAGTCCCTCCATTAAGAAAATATCACAGTTTTAGCCCTGGCTGGCGTAGCTCAGTGGATTGAGTGCGGGCTATGGACCAAAGTGTCGCGGGTTCGATTCCCAGTCAGGGTACATTCCTGGGTTGCAGGCCACAGCCCCCAGCAACCGCACATTGATGTTTCTCTCTCTTTCTCTTTCTCCCTCCCTTCTCTCTCTAAAAATAAATAAATAAAAAAATCTTTAAAAAAAGAAAAAAATAAACTTTAAAAAAAAGAAAATATCACAGTTTTAATCAATGTACACAAAATAAAATAGCTTCAAAATATATGACAAAAATGAGCAGACCATTTTGTTTTCAAAAAGATTTTTTTCAAAAAAGATTAAATAGACCCACGGTAAAAGTGCTAAACATTAAAATGTCTTTCTCAATAGCTTGATGAATAAGCAGACAAATAAAATCAATAAGTTTGCAGGATATCTGAACAATGCTGTGATCAAACTTAGTTGGCATGTAGAACAGTAATAGAATTCCTATACTTTTTAATGGTACATAGGTGAACTTGCCAAAATGACCATATGGCAAACTATAAATTTCAACACATTTCAAAATACTGAAGTCATTTAGAGCCTGTCCCCTGATGAACAAGGAATGAAAAGTAAATACCCAAAAGATAACTAAAATGTCTCCAGTAGCCTGGAAATGGAACATTACATTTATAAATAATCCAAGGATTAAACTAAAAATCAACATGGAAATCAAAAAATATTTTGAACTGAATGATAATGAAAATAAGCCAATCACAACTGCTAAAACAGTGTTAGAGGGAAACTTATACCTTCAGAGAATATATTAAAAAAGAGAAAGAGAAAACAATCATGATTTAAGCTTCTATCTCAAGAAGCTTGGAAAAGAACAGCAAATTAAATTTAAAGAAAGGAAAAAGGAAGGAATAATAAATATAAGAATAAAATTTAGTGCAGTAGAAAACATAAAATCAGCATAGCCAAAAGTTGATTCTTTGAAAAGTTTAACAAAATGGTAAACTAATATAAGTTTGGATAATAAAATACAGAAATGTAGATATATGCATGCCTGTTATCACCACTGTTGTTCAGTATTATAATGGAGGACATAGCTAGTGTAATAAGCCAAAAAAAAATGTCATAAGGATTAGAAAGGAAGAAATAAAATAGTCATTATTTGCAGATGACATGATTGTGTACACAGAAAATTGAAAATTATGTACAGACTAATTGGGTTAATAAATGAATTTGGCAAGATTACTGCATGCATACAAAAGTCACCATATAAAAATCAGTGACAATTTAAAAGATGTTTAAAAATTAAAAATTAAATAGTCACTAAGAAATTGCCAAAAAAATCAGTGAGATTTTTTATACCATACAAATAAAAATATGATTTAAAATCTATACCATTTACAATAGTATCAAAACTACCAAGTACACAGAGTAAATTTATCAAAAGCATGCAAAACCCTTATGCTGGAAGATACAGAACATTACAGAGAAAAAATAAACAGATTCTAACAAATGGAATGATATACAATGCATATGGACTAGAAGACTATGTTGTAAAAATGTTAATTCTCTTCAAATTGATATTTAGATTCAACCCAATCCAAATCAATATCCCAGTGGGGTTTTTTTTTTTTTTTAAATTGGCAAGCTGATTTTAAAATGTGCATGAATAGCCAATGAAATCTTGAAGAATAAAAACAAAGTAGGAGGATATACATTACCAGATATCAAAACCTACTATAAAACTGCACTGATTGACCATGTGGTCTTGGGGCAAGGTTAGACAAACCAACCAATGGGAGAATATAGAATGCTGAGAAGCAGACACACATGAGCAAGGTCACCGGATTTATTACAGAGGTGGCACTGCAGTGCTGTGAAGAAACAGGATGATCTTTACAATAAATGATTCTATAATTAAGTGCTCCAGTTACAAAAATAATGACAAATTATATTAAAATCAAGAACATGTGTTAATCAGAATGTACCTTGAAGAGAGTAATAAGGCAAGCCACAGAATGCAAGAAAGAATAATACATATATCTGATAAAAACTCATATCTAGAATATGTAACATATTTTTGCAAATCGATAAGAAAAAGACAATCAGAAAACAGGAAATAGAATTAAACACCCTTCAAAATGAGAGTACTCAAATATCCAATGAACATATGAGTAGATGATCAACTTAGTCAACTTGATACAAATTAAAACCCCCATAACGTACTACCACATACTGAACAGATTGGCTAAAATGAGAAAAAGATGGGGGTTCTGACCAAGATGGAGGCATAGGTAGAAACCCTTCACTTCCTCTCACAACCAAAAGGAGGATAACCAATCTAAAATCAATAAACAACCAGAAGTACCAGAAAATCAAACTGCATGAAACTCCAACAACTAAGGAATTAAAGAAAAAAATCAACCGAAACAACCAGACCAGTAAGGTGGACCCCGCGGGTCAAGCGACTCAGACAAACCGCGGCTAGGTGGCTGAGGGGCAGGGCTGACTTAAGGGGGAAACTGAGACTCAGAGCTGACTGTGGGCTACAGCTGGGGTTGCCGCAGTGGGAGATACTTCCACTCTGACTCAAGAGTCTGTTGGAAAGTGCTCTAGAGACCAGCAGGTGAGCTGCATTGCTCCCTCTCTGGCCCCTGCCCCACAGGAGGCAGCACAGCAAAGAGGATTGCCCTGCCTGGGTGAACACGTAGGGCCCTGCCCCTTACAACCTATCAGCTGTGCCAAGACACAGCTATGGGCCCATATTTCTTTCTATGAAAGAAATATGGCCCAAATGAAAGAACACAGCAAAACCTCAACTAAGCGTTGAGGACACTGCCAGCCTAACTGATGGAGAATTTAAAGCCCTGGTAATCAAAATGCTCACAGAATTGATTGAGCTTAGTTGAAAAATGAAAGAACAAATGAAAGATACCCAAAATGAAATAAAGCAAAATAATTCAGGGAACCAATAGTGACAAGAAGGAAACCAGGATTCAATTAAATGATTTTGGAACAAAAGGAAGAAATAAACATCCAATTGGATCAGAACTGAGAAACAAGAATCCAAAAAATGAGAGGCTGAGGACTCTCTGGGACAACCTGAAATGTTTCAATATCCGAATTATAGGGGTGCCAGAAGGAGAAGAACAACAGCAAGAAATTGAAAACTTATTTGAACAAATAATGAAGGAAAACTTCCCCAATCTGGCAAAGGAAATAGACTTCCAGGACGTCCAGGAAGCCCAGAGAGTCCCAAAGAAGTTGGACCCAAGGAGGAACACACCCAAGGCACATCATCATTTACTTACCCAAGATGAAAGACAGAGAAAATCCTAAGAGCAGCAAGAGAAAAGGAGACAGTTACCTACAAAGGAGTTCCCATAAAGCCATCAGCTGATTTCTCAAAAGAAACCTTACAGGCAAGAAGGGGCTGGAAAGCAGTATTCCAAGTCATGAAAGGCAAGGACCTACATCCAGATTGCTTTATCCAGCACAGCTATCATTTAGAATGAAAGGGCAGATAAAGTCCTTTACAAATAAGGTCAAGTTAAAAGAGTTCACCATCACCAAGCCCTTATTATATGAAATGTTAAAGGGAATTATCTAAGAAAAAGAAAATAAAAAATATGAACAGTAAAATGACAACACACAGCTATCAACAAATGAACCTAAAAGAAAAGAAAAACTGAAACAGCCAGAACAGGAACAGAATCAGAGAAATGGAGATCACACAGAAAGAGTTCAGTGGGGAGGGGGAAGGGAGGAATAGGGGGGGAAGGTACAAGGAAGAAGAAACATAATTGATAGGCATAAAATAGATGGGGAAAGATAAAAAATGGTATAGGAAACAGAGGACTCAAAGAACTTATATGTACAACCCATGGACATGAACTAAGGTGAGAGCCAGTGCTGGAGGGTTGGGAGGGCAGAGTGGAAAGGGAATAAAGGGGAAAAAATTGGGAAAACTGTAATAGCATAATCAATAAAAAATACTTTAAAAAGAAAAAGAAAAAAGATGGAAACTACAAAGTGTTGATAAATATGTGAAGCAACAAGAACTGCTGCTGGAATGCATGTTAGTACAACCACTTTGGAAAACTGGTACTGAATAAATTAATACTCTTACCTAGGTATGTCATTCCTAGGGAAAAACCCAAATGAAGTCACTAGGTGACATGTATATGTAATAGTGTTCACAGCAGCATTATTTGAGTTGTCCTATACTTGGAGGCTATCTAAATGCCTATTGACAGTAAAATGGATAAATAAATTGTGGTTTGTTCACATGATGGAATATTATTCAGCAATAAGAATGAATGTACTACAACTGCCAATAACAATATGAATGATTCTTGCAGTGATTAGGCTGACTGAAGTCAGATTTTTAAAAAGCCATTTTACAGTCTATTTTATATGAAGTACCAAAGTAGGCAAAGTGGTTACTAGAAGGTTGCTACCTTTGCAACAGGGTTGCATATGACTGGAAGGAAGCAGGAAATGCTTCTGGGATGTTAATATTTTGTTTCTTGATCTGGGTGGTGCTCAGACATGTTTGTTCAGTTTGTGAGAGTTCACTGAGCTCTGTATGCTTATGATGTGTATACCTTTGTCTATGTATACCATTCTTCAAAATGAGATGTTTAAAAATGTAACGATATCGGTTTTAGATTATCTTAGTCCTTCAATGTGTCTTTCATCAGCTCAAAATTACCCAGGCAGTTTCTAAGACTACCCCAACTCACTCTAGCACTTGCCTGCCTGCCCTTGCCTTTCCACTGCTACTGGTGGCCAGCCGGATCTAGAAGTTCAATTTGAGAACTTAGTAGACCAGGGTGGGAAGGACTGGGAAGAGAAGGATTAGAGGAGCAGAGAGGGAAAAAGGGAGAATGAATGTACGTAAGTGCTGGTATGAGGAAAATCTTGTCCACTTGTAGGTATTAACTGAAGGAGCCCATGGTATCAGAAGATTGATATGTGTAAGCATTTCTCTTTAATTGTAATTTTTTAAAAGATTTTATTTATTTATTCCCAGAGAGGGAAAGGAGGGAGAAAGAGAGAGAGAGAGAGAAACAGAAACATCAATGTGTGGTTGCTGGGGGTCATGGCCTGCAACCCAGGCCTGTACCCTGACTGGGAATCGAACCTGCGACACTTTGGTTCACAGCCCGCACTCAATCCACTGAGCTACGCCAGCCAGGACTAATTGTAATTTTTTTAAAAAGCTTAATAAAATATCCAAAGCAGCAGTTCATAAAATTTAAAGTAACTCATGACTTGTAAATTTATTCATTTCTTTAAAAGTGAATAAAGCTTTGACAAACAAGCAAGCAAAATATAACCAAAGACACTGAAATTGAGAACAGGCTGACAGTGACCAGAGGAAAGGGTATTATAGAGGAAAAGGGTGAAGGGTTTGCAGGAACAATTATAAAGGACACATGGACAATAACAAGGGGGGATGGAAACAGGAGGGAGGTGGGGAGGGCTGGGGTGTTGGGCTGGGGTGAGGGGGAAAGGCAGAAAAATGTACTGGAACAACAAAAAATGTTAAAAAAATAAATACATAAAATAAAAGTGAATAAAGCTTTGAAATAAGTGATAGTTTAAATATAAGTTACACATTTCTTCTACTTTTTCTTTCCTTGGACACCTATAGCCAAATATAATCTGCTTGGCAAATTCTTTTAATTTGTAAATATCTCTATACATATTGATTGAATATTGATTACTGGGAATCTAATCAATGAAATTATTTTCATAAGAAATGTTTTTCTGTTTTTTTAAGGTGGTATGTTATTTTGTTATGATGTTTCAATGTATCAGAGTAAAGATGGTAAACCTTTGAATCGACTGATGGCCAATAGAGGGCGCAGTTTCAAGCAGACCTCACTTGCTCTAGTGCATGAGGTAGGTGCCTTCCAAAACCCTAACAGGTTCTTCTTCCTTGTTTTGAGGTTTTTCACCTTACTTTATACTCATGAAATTTAGTGTATATTTGGAAATAATTTTTCTCTTTATCATAATTAATTTAAGTTCTTTTAAAAGGCAACCAAAATAGCTGACCCAACTGAATACTAAAATATTTTGATAACTTCTGGGAGAAACTGGCCTGCCTCCCCTAATGCCCAGCCTAATATTTGGGAGTAGTCTCTATTGGTTTATTTCATCAACTTTTAACTTCCATTGTAAAGAATAAATACCAGCTTGTTATTTAAAGATATTATCTTGCCTATTTCTTAACTCTAATCCTTTGCAAGTATGTAGGGCACCAGTGTTTATATTTTGTGAATGTAGAAAATTAATAGTAAATAAAAATGTTTAGGTTAAAAAAAACCTTTGGTTTTAGTGTTTATTTTACTTTTCAACTACCCTTTTAAAATAAAGCTTTGTGATGCCATTACAAGATTTGCATGAAATCTGATCATTGCAAATATAGCAATATCTGAAGGATGTGGGAAGATGGAAATTACTTGGGAAATGTGTGTTTTTGTTGTTGTTTTTTAAACTTTTTATGGCAGTTGCTCATTCCAGTGTATATAAATTAAAATGTACAAATGAAAGCAAAATATTGCAGCAAAGAAATTTGTTTTATATAATATATGTAACATATAGCAGCTATAAATAGAAAAATATAAATTATACTATAAAAATTAATGGAGATGATGTAAAAATAGGGCTTCTATGCTATATACTAAGTCTTACATTGATGCACAATTTATAAATCTTGGCTATATTAATTTGGTTTGGTTATATTCCATATGCCAATTACCACCAGTTAGCAAAACTGATTTTTTAAAGAAGCATCTTTATCCTATGCCACCTGTACTCCTTTAATATATTTAGTTGGAGTTCAAATTATGTAAACATTTGGTTCAGAACCATTTTTGTCTAATACAGTATCTTCATTTAACTAAGGAGGGAAGAAAGATTTGGGAAGACCACTGATTCTCTATGAAGTAGAGAGGTTTACTTTTATGAAAGAAGGAAAACCATAGGTGATTTCTAGATATGTTTTCCCTAGCATCTTATTAGTTGGTGTAGAGATGGGAGAAATTTGTTACCTTTTTGTGTTCTTAAGCTGTGCACTTAGGTATTTGAAGGATAATCAAAGTGTTAAATATTACTAGAAAGCTGATTTTATATTCACAATCAGAACAGAAACAAGAAAAAGTGTGAATGTGGGGGATAGCAGAAGGTATCTAATAAATTCAGCAAATGGTATCAGAACTTTACAAGGTATGCTTTAGATATGAACAGATGAAAATATTTGGGTTAAGATACTTACTACTACTGTTACAGAATGTCTAGAAAATTTCAAAGAGATGAGAAAATTAAGATCATTATTTTAGGAGTCAATCAGAAGATGTATTGGACAAGATTCTGCCAAAGCTATGGTAGAATTAATAACAGTTTTAAGAGCTGCTTAACAAGAATAACACTTGCAATAATAATAGCTAATAACCAGCTCAGGTACTTCAAAAATTGCTACACATATGTTAATTCATTTCATCTTTACATTAACACTGTGAGGTTGGTACTGTTAATGTGCTCGAAATCATGGAGAGGAGCCTGGAGGTTGAACCCGTGCAGTGTCAATCCACAGTTCTTGAACTACGTTACACCCTCCCAGGTTAAGCAGAGCACATTTTAAAAATACCTTTGGATCTTTCCAAGATGATCGTAGTATTTCTTAGCTCTTCTTCTTGCTTCTAGTCTTTTTATTATTGTAGTCCATTTGATATTTTTCTAGCTGAAGTTTCTTAAAACTCTGTTTTGCTTCCTATCTCTACATTATTCTGTTATTCTATTTAAAAAAAACTATCATGAGTGTTTCAGGTTCACCCATTTATGGGTCTTTGGGTTGTTGCCAATTTTTGGCAATTATGACTAAAGCTGCTATAAACATTCTCATACAGGTATATGTATGGGCATTTGTTTTCATTTCTTTTGAGTAAATAAATACCTAGGAGTGGGTCTGTTAGTTTATATGGTAAGTGAAAATATTAATAAGGTACTTCCAAAATGTTTTCATAGCTGACAGTCTCATTTTGAATTCCCACCATCTCTATTTATAGACATTGTAATGAAAACAAAAAGAATCTACAAAAAAAGTACAAGACTATGTAAGTGGGTTTATTAAGGTCATAGAAAAGTATTGATTATGTGTTTGTATACTAGTAGTGAACAGTTGGAAATGAAAGCAAAAACGTTTAATTGAATTTCTGATATGTGTATGTATATTATATATACAGAATGTCTGCTGTCACCACCTCTCTCTATATATTTGCCTAACTGTTCTGTGTAGGGCTCTCCAGTGCAGTGCTGACCAGTAGTGCTGAGAGCGGACGTTCTCGTGCACAGTCTTGGGGAAAGCATTCAGCTTAATAACATTAAATGTGATGTTAGTATGGAGTTTTTGTAGATATCCTTCATTGGGTTGACAAAGTTTCCTTTTCCTAAACTGCTGAGATTTTTTGTTTTTCACAAATAGATGTTGAGTCTTGTCAAATGTTTTTTTCCCACATCTTTTGAAATGATTCTATACTTTTTTAGTGTGTTAATATGAGGAATTATTTTGATAGATTTTTCTATTGTGAACCAAACCCACATTGCTGTGATAAACTCCACTTGATCATAATGTATTATCCTATTTATACATTGCTGAATTTGATTTGCTAATAATATTTAAGTAGGAATGTTTTAATCTATACTCATGAGGGATATTGTTATGTAGTTTCCTTCTAATATTTTTGTATGGTGTGTTGTCAGGGTAATGCTATCATAATAAATAATATTTCTTTAAATTTTTGGTACAGTAGAATATTCCAGGCTTGGAGGTTTCTTTAGGAATGTTTGTAACTATGAATTCATTTTATGTATCTGTCTCTCCATCCATACCTATCTGTCTATTCATCTGTCCATTCATATCTATCTATTCTGTCTACATACCTGTCTGTCAGTTTGTCTGTACATTCATTTATTCTTCCATCCATCTGTCCATCTATCCCTAGTCAACCTGAAGAATAGATTTGCATACACAATTAGTATCTTTCTGCCTTTTGAAGTGTAAGGTTGAGGAGGTTTTGGGTTTTTTGTTTTTTTTGTAATGTTTAGCTCCAGTGCCTGGTATTGCTGGTATGTAGTAGACACTTCATAAATGTTTGTTAAGTTAATGATTATAATCCCTTAATACTTGGATGTGTCTTATCCTTCATATGTACATGTGGTAGGATATTTCCTGTTCCCCAAAATGTTGTTATTAAGTTGGTGGTGAATGTTATAATTGTTGAGGTCTTACTAAGAAGCTATGTTATTGTCATCTGAACAAGCTCTTAGGTACTGTTTTGTATTGTTATTCATTTACATGGTTTAGCCCCTCCTCCCTGCCAAGGATTACATACCCCTATAGGATATTCTGTGGCCCTCTTAATGCTCACAGCTAGAAGTGGGTGAGTGAGTGAATAAATGGGTAAAATAATTTTGATATAAATGTTCAAGAGCTATGCTCTTCATATTTTGAAGTATATTTTGCTTTATTTAATTGCCAATATTTCTCAATAACTATGTTAGTTAACTCAAGTAATTTCTAAATCATGGGAAACTAGTTATTTCTAGTAGTGATGAATCATTTTGGAAAATGTTATATCCTGTTCTTTTGGGGAAAAATTTTTTTTCATTAACTTCTTTTTAAATTTAATCTTTATTGTATTTTTGTCCCATTACCATTTATCCCCCCTATACCCCTGTGCCTGCAGCAATCACCATACTGCTGCCCATGTCTAGGAGTTCTTTTTCCTTTTTTCTCAATTCTTCTACCTGTCACCTCCCCCACCCCAGCTGTCATCCTGCTCTCCATCTGAGTCTGTCCCCATTTTCTTTGTTAGTTCAGTTTGTTCACTAGATTCCACATATGAGTGATATCAGATAATATTTTTCTTGCTCTGACTGGCTTATTTCACTTAGCATAATGTTCTCCAGGTCCATCCATACTGTCTCAAAGGGTAAAATTATCTTCTTTTTTACAGCCAAGTAGAGTTCCATTTTGTAAATGTCCCATAGTTGTTTTATCCACTCGTCTACCGATGGACACTTGAGCTGCTCCCATATCTTGGTGACTGTAAATAATGTTGCGATGAACATAGGGATGCTTATGTTCTTTGGAATTAGAGTTTTTGGTTCTTTCAGATACATGCTCAGAAGTAGGATCACTGAGTCAAAAAGCACATGCATTTTTAATTTCTTGAGGTATCTCCATATTGTCTTCCACAGTCATTATTCCAGTCTGCATTCCCACCAACAGTGAAAAAGGTTTCCCCTTTCTCCACATCCTCACCAGTACTTGTTTGTTGATTTATTGATGATGATAGTTCTGATAGGTATGAGATGATATCTTATTGTGGTATTAATTTACATTTCTCTGAGGATCAGTGATGTTGAACATCTTTTCCTACGTCCATTGGCCATCTGTATGTCCTCTTTAGATAAGTGTCTATTCTGGTCCTTTGTCCATTTCTTAATTGGGTTGTTTGTTTTTTTGGTGTTGAGTTTTATAAGTTCTTTAAACTTTGGTTATTAACCCCTTATCAGCTGTATCAGTGAATACAACCCATTCTGTGAGTTGTCTTTTTGTTGATGATTTCCATTGCTGTGAAAAAGCTTTTTAGTTTGATATAGTCCCATCTATTTATTTTTTCTTTTGTTTCCCTTACCTGGCGAGAAATATCCGATAAAATATTACTACAAGCAATGTCCTAGATTTTGCTGCTTATGTTTTCTTCTACAATTTGTATGGTAGAATAAACTATCTACCATACATAGTTTATAGAATAAACTATCTTTTCTTTTTAATATCTTTATCTGGTTTTGTGATTATCATAATGCTGAGCTAGAAAATGAGATGGGAGTCT